TTTTGTTTTTTTTTCACCTTTGATGAATGTTCTGATGTTGTATGCTTCTTTTGGTGTCTTATAGACTCATCACAGTAACAAGCTTCTCTTCTAACTGATGATGGTTCCTCTTCCTTGCTTTTTTCTTCTGTTCTTCTTTGCTTGTCTGGACTCTAAACACTAACAGAAGAGACTATGATGAAAATTACGGAATTTACTGCCCACCATACTGTCGTATCTACTTCATCCATGTGCAACCACATGGAGTTGCGCATGCGCAGTTCTTGTATCAGACTAGTTTAGTAAGTTTACCAGAGTAGTATCAACTACCGGTATCAACCCACCTAAAATGGCCTCGCAACTCGCCCCCTCTGTTCTGAGTGGAAGGACCTTAAGTGAGTTCAGAATTGAAACCATTAATTTATTATCCTATCCTAATTATGTGATTACCATAGGCATCCAGGATCTTGATGATGTGATTTCTTTACTTGAAAGACATGACTACAGCAAGACATCATATCGTCGACTTGGTCTACGTCTCAAATTGCATCACAATACACTAGAAACTATAAGGAAAGACCACGGAGACATCCATCCGTGTTTTACGGAGTGTTTGGCTAGCTGGTTGCGTAAAGCTGATAGAGTAAAGAATCCAACAATAGATGCACTGATAGCTGCTCTTAGAGGAATAGGAGAGAATGCTGTAGCTGATGGTATTAATGAAGAAAGAAAAAGTAAGCAAATTTTTAATATTCATACTTTCTTATGTTACATTATTTAGGATGTACTATGTCTGAAAGTGAAGTTTCAGATTGTTCGTCAGATAGACCAATGTTAGCCTTAGCCACACCCCCAACACTGCTTGCCCCTAGTAAAGGTGAGCCTGTAATGTACATAGTGTACTTCAGCTTTGTATAGTCCACCCAGAGTGAGAATTGCAAAACCTATGAATTCCATTAATTTTATATACGACATCTGCCCACACGTCATAATTGGCTGCCATTTTGGTTGGCAAGTTTGTTAAGGAAGTCAATAGAGGCACGAAGAAAATGCCTCACTTACCTGCTTTAGCTCTATCAAAAGCTAAAAAGTGCTTGTTATAAGAAAGA